ATGTCTGCGTGTCTCTATGTATGTGTGTATGTACGTGTGTGCATGTGTTTGTGTGTATGTATGTGTGTGTGTATGTATGTGTGTGTATGTGTTTCTGTGTATGTATGTGTGTGTATGTATGTGTCTTATGTGTCTGTCTGTGTGTCTGCATGTATGTGTGTGTGTATTGTGTATGTGTTTGTGTGCATGTATGTGTGTGTTTGTGTGTATGTGTATGTCTGTGTGTGTGTATGTGTGTGTATGTGTGTGTATGTGTTTGTGTGTATGTGTGTGTATGTATGTGTGTGTATGTGTTTGTATGTGTTTGTGTGTTTACGCTCGCATTACACAAATGTGTTGCTGGTCTAAGGCGTTCCTCGCACAGCATTGCCGCTTTATTATTTCAGTCGTTTACTGCCTTACGCACCCTGAAAGTCGTGTGTGTCTGCAGCAAGCGCGTGTATGTGTACCTATGGACGCGCGCGCGTGTGTTGTGTAGGGGGAACGGTAGTGTAGTGCTTAGCGTGCTGTCTGTGTCTGTGTGTGTGTCTGTGTGTGTGTCTGTGTGTGTGCGTGTGTGGTGTGTGGGGAGCGGTAGTGTAGTGCTTAGCGTGCTGTCTGTGTGTCTGTGTGTGTGTGTGTCTGTCTGTGTCTGTCTGTGTGTGTCTGCGTGTGTCTGTGTGTGTGTCTGTGCGTGTGTGGTGTGTGAGGAGCGGTGGGTGTAGTGCTTAACGCTACGCTGCGCTACCAACCCGGCCGAACCGAGTTCGATTCCCGCTCACGGCCACCACCGGTGACGATTATTTGAACCTCCCCTAGGTCGACTCAGCCTCAAACGAGTAACTGGTGTGGCGTATTAACATCGGCACTTGGGAGACAAAGGCGGCCGCGCGTGGTGGATCCAAGTCCCGGCCGAAGCCGGGTCATGTGTATGTGTTTATGTGTATGTCTGTGTGTCTGTATGCATGTGTGTATGTATGTGTGTGTATGTGTTTGTGTGTATGTCTGTGTGTGTATGTATGTGGGTTTTTTTGTATGTGTTTATGTCTATGTCTGTGTGTCTGTATGTGTGTATGTACGTGTGTGTATGTGTTTGTGTGTATGTATGTGTGTGTTTGTGTGTATGTGTATGTCTGTGTGTATGTATGTGTGTGTATGTGTGTGTATGTGTTTGTGTGTATGTGTGTGTATGTATGTGTTTGTATGTGTTTGTGTGTTTACGCTCGCATTACACAAATGTGTTGCAGGTCTAAGGCGTTCCTCGCGCAGCATTGCCGCTTTATTATTTCAGTCGTTTACTGCCGTGCGCACCCTGAAAGTCGTGTGTGTCTGCAGCAAGCGCGTGTATGTGTTCCTATGGACGCGCGCGCGTGTGTTGTGTAGGGGGAACGGTAGTGTAGTGCTTAGCGTGCTGTCTGTGTCTGTGTGTCTGTGTGTGTGTCTGTGTGTGTGCGTGTGTGGTGTGTGGGGAGCGATAGTGTAGTGCTTAGCGTGCTGTCTGTGTGTCTGTGTGTGTGTGTGTCTGTCTGTCTCTGTCTGTGTGTGTCTGCGTGTGTCTGTGTGTGTGTCTGTGTGTGTGTCTGTGCGTGTGTGGTGTGTGAGGAGCGGTGGGTGTAGTGCTTAACGCTACGCTGCGCTACCAACCCGGCGAACCGAGTTCGATTCCCGCTCACGGCCACTACCGGTGACGATTATTTGAACCTCCCCTAGGTCGACTCAGCCTCAAACGAGTAACTGGTGTTGCGTATTAACATCGGCACTGGGGAGACAAAGGCGGCCGGGCGTGGTGGATCCAAGTCCCGGGCGAAGCCGGGTCATGTGTATGTGTGTATGTGTTTATGTGTATGTCTGTGTGTCTGTATGCATGTGTGTATGTATGTGTGTGCATGTGTTTGTGTGTATGTATGTGTGTGTGTATGTATGTGGGTTTTTTTGTATGTGTTTATGTGTATGTCTGCGTGCCTTTATGTATGTGTGTATGTACGTATGTGGATGTGTTTGTGTGTATGTATGTGTGTGTCTATGTATGTGTGTGTATGTGTTTCTGTGTTTGTATGTGTGTGTATGTATGTGTGTTATGTGTCTGTCTGTGTGTCTGCATGTATGTGTGTGTGTATTGTGTATGTGTTTGTGTGTGTTTGTGTGTTTACGCTCGCATTACACAAATGTGTAATGCGGGTCTAAGGCGTTCCTTACACAGCATTGCCGCTTTATTATTTCAGTCGTTTACTGCCGTACGCACCCTGAAAGTCGTGTGTGTCTGCAGCAAGCGCGTGTATGTGTACCTATGGACGCGCGCGCGTGTGTTGTGTAGGGGGAACGGTAGTGTAGTGCTTAGCGTGCTGCCTGTGTCTGTGTGTGTGTCTGTGTGTGTGTGTCTGTGTGTGTGTCTGTGTGTGTGTCTGTGTGTGTGCGTGTGTGGTGTGTGGGGAGCGGTAGTGTAGTGCTTAGCGTGCTGTCTGTGTGTGTGTGTGTCTCTGTCTGTGTGTGTCTGCGTGTGTCTGTGTGTGTGTCTGTGTGTGTGTCTGTGCGTGTGTGGTGTGTGAGGAGCGGTGGGTGTAGTGCTTAACGCTACGCTGCGCTACCAACCCGGCGAACCCAGTTCGATTCCCGCTCACGGCCACCACCGGTGACGATTATTTGAACCTCCCCTAGGTCGACTCTGCCTCAAACGAGTAACTGCTGTAGCGTATTAACATCGCCACTGGGGAGACAAAGGCGGCCGGCCGTGGTAGATACAAGTCCCGGGCGAAGCCGGGTAGTACAGCTAGTATTTATTTAAAGTTGCACATTTGATGTGACGTCACATTTCTCAACCCCCCCCCCCCCCTCGTCACACATCGTCACAAATATCTGACCCCCCCCCCCCTAGGTGCGTGACGTCATTTATGGATGGCCCCTATGCAAACATCACCACGAGAGAGACAAAGGCGGCCGGGCGTGGTTCTGACCACCCACCCCCTCGTGTGCCACAGTGCCGGTAGCCTTCATAGGTGCTGCTACTACTCGCTAACAGCACTTGCCCCAACAGTCTGTTGAGGCTATACGGGGGATCTTTGTCTTTATGTGGCCACCCACCCCCTCGTGTGCCACAATTCCGGTAGCCTTCATAGGTGCTGCTACTACTCGCTAACAGCACTTGCCCCAACAGTCTGTTGAGGCTATACGGGGGATCTTTGTCTTTATGTGGCCACCCACCCCCTCGTGTGCCACAGTGCCGGTAGCCTTCATAGGCGCTGCTGCTACTCGCTAACAGCACTTGCCCCAACAGTCTGTTAAGGCTACACGGGGTGGGGAGGATCTTTGTCTTGGTTCAGGTGGAGGTGGGAGGGAGGTGGAGGTGGGGTGGAGGTGGGAGGGAGGTAGGGGTGGAGGTGGAGGTCGGGTGGAGGTGGAGGTGGGAGGTGGGATGGAGGTGGAGGTGGGAGTGTGCCGTGCCGGCCTTCATAGGTGCTGCTACTCGCTAACAGCACTTGCCCCAACAACAGCCTGTTAAAGCCTATACGGGGGAGGTGGGTGGGTGAAGGGGATATCCTTAGTACGTATACGTGTGTAGGGGATGCCCTGGCGGCCTGGGTTTGATACCTGCCCATGATTCGTGACCGTGGCAGGAAGCGCTCGAGTGTTCGAGCGTTGACTGCCAGGGGCATGGATCGTGCATCTCTGAAATGAGCGGACGGTGGTCAGAGGTCACAAACGAGTTTTGATTCCTTACCCGTACCTGTACCCGGCCGCACCAGGGTCGCAAACGGGTACCCGTACCCGTACCCTACCCGTTACCCGGCCGGGTACGGGTAGGGTACGGGTATCGGGTACCTGATTGCGACCTCTGCGATGAAGCCATGTTGCAGGCGCGGGTGGGTTGATTCTAGGAACTTGAATTGTGAGAAGAGACAAGACGTTGGGAAATGAGTGACAAACAGTTACTCACCAGTGACTCACGGCCTACCCGTACCTGGCCGCACCAGGGTCGCAAACTCTCCCACTCACTCACTCACTCACCCACCCACTAATTCAGCTACTCACTCACTCACCCACCCACTCACTCACCCACCCACGAACTCACTCACCCACTCACCCACCCACCCACCAACCAGAGGTCGCAAACGGGTTTTGATTCCTTACCCGTACCCGGCCGCACCAGGGTCGCAAACGGGTACCCGTACCCGGGCGGGTAGCCGGGTATCGGGTAGGGTACGGGTATCGCGTACCCGGTTGCGACCTCTGACGGTGGTGCTGCTCGCTGTCCTGACTTTTCCCGGCATCGTCTTCGTGTCGCGGTCGACTTCCTCCCGGAATAACTGCGAGTTTCCCCCGGGGGTGTCACGAGCCCCGTGTTGTTACCAGTTGCGTCGTCATAATGTTACGTACATTGAACTTATTTTGCACCGTACGTAGCCAAACCGTGCTAACACTTGTCAACACACTTTTTCTGGCACAAGGTATTCCAACGGTTTTAATGTAATTTTGGGATGCTGATTCCAAATCTGGAATCAGTTTTTGTCTATCACATCAGGTTTTTGAGATATCAAATATTGCAGTTTCAATAAAAACTGCAGAATAAAAATAGTAAATAAATGTGGATATCTACATAAAATGATATTATAAACACACTATCCTAAAAATACAGCACCGTATTTTAACACTAAAGCAGTCACTGACTCGCAACAACTTGCAATCATAATCAATGAAAATGGGGTATGCCGATAGCATAACAATGAGATGTGATAGAGCAAATCTGAGATCAGATTTGGAATCAGCACCCTGAAATTAGTCTAGAACAGCTGCAAAGTCCAAGTTATTTTTTGTTGGCCAGTGTTTAATCGGAGGTGCGTGCGGGCGGGGGGGGAAACAACTAATACTAAACACAAAAAGCATACTCTTTGGTTCTTTCGGTAAAGTCACGTAGGTGAAAAAAAAATAGAAATGAAAGTAACTAAATGAAATCACGACGTTTCGGAAGCAACACAAACCTCACGTAAAGCCCTTCTAGGAGGTGTTCGCGTGGCGGCGCGTGTTACCGGCGACAGAAGGATCTGCGGCATGGGCATCCACGGTGGCACGGAGACCTCCGTCGCCTCCACGGGGGCCGTGGAGGGCAGCTCGGATCCCGGCGTCTCCACGCAGCCGCTGGGCAGCAGTCGGCGCAGCAGGGAGGACAGCTCCACGCTGGCCCCACAGCCCATGGGCCCCGAGGCCCCAACAACGCCACCCAACCACCTCCACGCAGAGCCAGAGGCGACGACGATGACGACGACGACGACGTGGGATGATCAGCTGTGCCGTGCCAGGTGGTGGTGCCACCCCGAGACCTCCGACTGACGGCCGTGTGATCAGCTCATTGGACAGGCCGCTGAGCGGCACACGTGGGGGGCACGGTGAGTCCGCGGGTGTCTCGCGTTGAGCTCCTCTCCCCACCCCTCCACCCCCGGGCTAAAGACTGAGTCCCACGGGAGGAGAACGCATGGAAGGCTCGGGGCTAATTGCGTGGCCGAGGTTCCCCATCCAGCGGCGCTAGGGGCTTGGCTCGTGGGCCAAGTGCCGATTTCCGTCGGTTGCGACGTCGCCAGCTATGTGGAGCCCGGCCTAAGATGTCATCACTTGCGCTCAGATGGAAACGTTTCCTTGGGCCAAGAGCGAGCGCGTTAGTTCGTGACGCTGAGCTAAAGAGTCTTAGATCAGCTGACGCCGAGTTTCCCGGAATTGGCAGACGGCCACTCAGCTCAGAAGTGGGTCCTCCAAGGAGGATCCGGAGGTCGCCGGACTGAACATTCGTTTCAAGTTTGCGTTGTTTGATCCAGACGAGAACTGCCTGTCCGCTCGAGCTGGAGGAGCCCGCGGATCAAGGTGCCACGTTCAGGCACCGCAGTCGGTGGTTGCCGAGTTGAGCAGAGGGGGCAGTCTTGAACGCTGAGCACTTCCGATTAAGCACGGTTTGGCTACTACGTACGGTGCGAAAGAAGTTCAACGCACGCAATGCAGGTACATCACGAGTAGAGAGCTGGCGACATGGACCAGCAGAAGCGCGGTTCGCTGTTGCAGAGGCGCGGCGGTTCCGACTCCAGCGTCCGCCCTGGTCAGTACTGCGGAGTGCATAGACCGCATAGGGCGACGAGGCGTCTGCTTCAGATCCTGTCAGATCCCGTGACTTTATCTGAATAGAAGAGTCGTGCACTGTAGCCCATGAGAGCGTGTACGCGTGTGTGTGTGTCTGTGTGTGTATGGGGGAGCGGTAGTGTAGCGGTTAGCACGCTGCGCTATGAACCCGGCGACCCGAGTTCGATTCCACGCTCACGGCCAACACCAGTGACGATTATCTGAACCGGTCCTGGGCCTCCCCTAGGTCGGCTCAGCCTCAAATGAGTACCTGGTGCAGTGTGTAAACATTGCCACTAGGGAGACAAAGGCGGTCGGGCGTGGTGCTGGCCACCCACCCCCTCGTGTGCCGTGCCGGCCTTCATAGGTGCTCGCTAACAGCACTTGCCCCTACAGTCTGTTAAGGCTATATGGGGGATCTTTATCTTTGTGTGTGTGTCCACGGGCCCTGTTCAAGTTTGATCAATTAAATTTCGACTGAAAACTTTGGTGCCTGTAAAGTCACGGAGATAGTAGAAGAAAAAAAAATCAAAAGTAAATATAAAAATTTTGATTTATCATTTTTTTTTATTAAAATGTCTGTGCAACTGCTCTAACGGGGTAGTCCTCACCCTGTTGTAGTGTCCGCATGGGAAGGAGCCTCTCTCTGTTCATCACCTATCCACGCGTGGTGCTTCTCGAACGCGTCGCTTCGCTCACCCACGTGGCCCCGCCGTGGAGACAAAGCCGTGCAGCAGGTCGATCTCTCCTCCACGTGGCCACCACTCCAAGTGCCGCGGCGTCTCAGGCGTCAGCCTTGGGTGAACGACGTTTCGCACACATGCCTTGCACGGGGCAGGGAGCGGAGGGGACGGGGGGGGGGAGGGGGGACTGAGCTCTTCATTGTGATGATGATTTTCGATTTAAAGCTTTCGTGACTGCAGGGATTCATCTTCTTGGTTCTTTCGGTAAAGTCACGTAGAAGGAAAATAATAAAATAATAAAAATAAAACATAATAAAATAATACAAATAAAACATAATAAAATAATTCTCACGACGTTTTGGCAACAACGCAAGCAGCCGTCCTTTCACCTGGGGACGGCTGCTTGCGTTGTGGCCGAAACGTCGTGAGAATTATTTTATTATGTTTTATTTTTATTATTTTATTACTTCCCTTCTACGTGATGACTTTACCGAAAGAACCAAGAAGATGATGATGTGACGAAATCAACATCGAGAATACAAACAGCTGCACGCATGCCGCATTGATTGAAAATGCATTTCTTTAAAAAATAAATCGCGTTATTGTGTTTAGTTTGTTGTCTTTCCCCTCCCTCCACCCCGCACCCTCCGATTAGCGCGCAATAGGCTACGTACGGTGCGAAAGAAGTTCAACATACATGATACAATACATACAGTACCATACATGTCAACCCCTTATCAGTGCCTATCTCATTAAGGGCCAATTCAGACCTCGTAAATCTCAACGTTCATCCGACAAAATTCGATCACACGGGAGAAACACAAACAAATAGACAAAAATTATCATGCATTGAAACAGCTGTGCGCCGCACGGACCTGAAAACTCAAATTTCCCCTGGACAAGAATACGGCAGTACACACAGTACACACAGTGTACACACAGTACACACAGAGTACACACAGTACACAGAGTACACACAGTACACAGAGTACACAGAGTACACACAGTACACAGAGTACACACAATACACAGAGTACACAGAGTACATGCAGTACACAGAGTACACACACAGTACACGCAGAGTACACACAGTACACAGAGTACACACAGTACATGCAGTACACACAGTACATAGAGTACACACAGTACACACAGTACACAGAGTACACACAGTACACACACAGTACACACAATACACAGAGTACTCACAGTATACGCAGTACACACAGAGTACACACAGTACACACACTACACACACTACACAGAGTACACACACAGTACACAGAGTACACACAGAGTACACACAGTACACACACAGTACACGCAGTACACGCAGTACATAGAGTACACACAGTACACACAGTACACAGAGTACACACAGTACACACACAGTACACACAGTACACAGAGTACACACAGTACACACAGAGTACACACAGTACACACACAGTACACACAGTGTACACAGAGTACACACAGTACACACAGAGTACACACAGTACACACACAGTACACACAGTACACACAGAGTACACACAGTACACACACAGTACACACAGTGTACACAGAGTACACACAGTACACACAGAGTACACACAGTACACACACAGTACACACAGTACACACAGAGTACACACAGTACACACACAGTACACACAGTACACACAGAGTACACACAGTACACACAGAGTACACACAATACACAGAGTACATACAGTACACACGCAGTACACACAGTACACAGAGTACACACAGTACACACACAGTACACACACAGTACACACAGTACACAGAGTACACACACACTACACACAGTACATAGAGTACACACAGAGTACACACACAGTACACACACAGAGTACACACACAGTACTCACAGAATACTCCCCTCCCTCGCCCTGACACGTGCCAACTGCACCGTCTCTGCGTGCGGTGGAGGGTGAACCTCGAAGCAATTCGCCGATTGCCGACGCTGAGAATCGCGGTTCGAAGTGGCGGCCGCCCCGTTTAATCGGCGCTACTCGCTAACAACACTCGCCCCCAACACTCTGTTAAGGCTATACGTGGAGGGGAGGGGGGTAGGTGGAATATGTATATCGTTGTGTGTATTAACCGCGACTACCGCGCTCACAGTTTTTGTGGCGTTAAAGATCCTAGGGGAGTAATAGAAGTCGCTTTGTGTGTGGACCAGAGGTCGCAACCGGGTACCCGATACCCGTACCCTACCCGATACCCGGCTACCCGTACCCGGCCGGGAACGGGTACCCGTACCCGGCCAGGTATGGGTACGGGTACCCGTTTGCAACCCTGGTGTGGCCGGGTACGGGTACGGGTTGGCCGTGAGTCACTGGTGAGTAGCCGTTTGTCACTCATTTCGGGTAGGGTACGGGTAGGGAACGGGTAACCGTACCCGGCCGGGTACGGGTAAGGAATCAAAACCCGTTTGCGACCTCTGGTGTGGACCGGGGGACTATTGGTTCACAACAGTCGGGCGACAACAATTGGAATAGTTGTTGGTTTGCGTCGAAAAACGGCACGATTGGGATGAGAAACGCAGCGGCAAGCCCCCCCCCCCTTCCACCTCCGACTGCGAGAAGCTCGTGGTAAAATAGTCTGGGGACTTTCCTGGGTGGACGAGAATAACGAGCAGAGCGACAAGCGGCGCTGAACAAATCGTCGATCTGCTGGTGGCCCACGAGGACACCGCGGACAGCGCAGAGAGCTCAGCTGTGCCGAACAGCAGCCGCTCGGTCCGGCAGCGTCAGGCTGTGAGCCGCTCTCTCTTGCTCAGATTTCAGCAGCAACCACCACCACCCACCCACCACGTCCACCACTACGCACCAACCACGACCACCACCCACCCACCACTCACCACGACTACCACCACCCACCAACCACGACCACCACCGCCCACCACGACCACCACCACTCACCACGACCACTACCCGACCACCACCCACCCACCACGACTACCACCACCCACCCACCACGACTACCACCACCCACCCACCACGACTACCACCACCCACCCACCACGACTACCACCACCCACCCACCACGACTACCACCACCCACCCACCACGACTACCACCACCCACCACGACCACCACCACCCACCGACCCACCGACCCACCACGACCACCACCACCCAACGACCCACCACGACCACCACCCACCCACAACCGCCCACCACGACCACTACCTACCCATCCACCCACCCACCACGACCACCATCACCCACCCACCACGACTACCACCACCCACCGACCCACCACGACCACCACCACCCAACGACCCACCACGACCACCACCCACCCACAACCGCCCACCACGACCACTACCTACCCATCCACCCACCACCACGACCACCACCCACCACGACCACCACCCACCACGACCACCACCAC